TTTGAGAGCCAAGTTCAAATTCCAGTTAAGTTCATTATATTCATTTATGTGCTAATACTCTTGAGAAAGGTATGAATCCATCTCCCCCCAGCTATGGATAAAATAGCAGGACAGACTGTGTCCTGTAGCCTTGGGTGGCAACCAGTCTAAGAGAAGGAAGCTGAATTCAAACCCGATCACACTATCCTAAAGTGTTTATACATATGACTGGGGACTGCTTGTGAATTCAAATTCCCCACTATAAATTTGCATGTTCAAATGAATATGACCTCTGCTATGCTTGGTCAGCTTCCATTCTGATGTGGCAGGTTTTTTTGCAGGCTCAACAGACTGCGTGAATGCCACAAGTCCAAGCAAGAGAATGATACAGCTTGTATTGCTGTAAATTGTTTTATTACTTATAGCAAATTTTTAAGTTCTCATGGATGTAGTTTCTTTTAGGATTTAAAGTCAGAGAATTCAACAAGACAGAAATATTTTTTGTTTGGGGGGGGGGATTTTGTTAATTATTTTGTTTACACCTGTGCATCATTCTGAAATGGCTGATACAAAGTGAAGTAAATTAGAATCTTCAGAGACCACCTGAAATTAATAATATTGGAAGAATTTTGAATTCAATAACAAATTTGTTCTCAATATGCTCTATTTGTATTTTACTAGGAATCTTCAGGAATTTTTTTTTCACCAAGTAAAAGTGAGTTTATAAATGCAAATACAGTAATGACTTCAAATATGAGTGTATTGACCTATGAGTTTTTTGAGATACAAGCCGGTGTTCAGCTGATATTTTGCCTTGCGATATGAGCTGAATTTTGAGATTTGAGTGAATTTCAGCTAAATATCTACTAGTTGGTGCAGTGAGTGCCAAGTGTCAAGAGTATTTCCACTCGCAGTACATGTGTTCACCTTGCTCTGGAAGAATCTCTGTTGTGTTGTGCCTTTTTTTGTCATTTTGCAAAATTCCTTTAGTGACACCATTGGTCTGAAGAAAGTAAGTGTAAAGAGCAGTGATGAAAAGCCAAAATGTATGATTTCATTTGAGGTAAAGTGGAAAATTATAAAAAAACATGAGGAAGATGTAAGAGTAATGGATTTGATGAGACAGTATGTGTTGTACATTGACAATAAGTAAAAAAAAATTATAAAATTAAAAAAAAAAAAAAAAAAAATTAGTTCCAGTAACGGATAAAATGTAAATGTTTTAAAAAATTTAAAAACTAAGTGATAAAGTTAATCTTCAGTATTGTAGATTAGGCTAGTTGTTGCCCCTTTCTCTTTCTTTCTCTTCTCCCTCCAGTTGGCCTATGACTCGTCTGAACTTCATGGTTTAGTACAGTTTATTTCTTTATAATTTGTTTTTTTCACTTATTCTATTGTTTGTAAACTACATTTCTTGTTTATTCACAGGTTTTTGCTTGTAAGAAACCCACAAATACAAAAACAGAGGTAAGTTTTATGAAAATAAGGGTGATTTTTTAGGGGCCTGTAATAGATTGGAAATATTCCCATTAATTTCAATGAGGAAAATTGATTTCAGTAAGATTCCTTTGAGTTACAAACTCGGTCCTGAAACGTGTATCTCAAGGCATTACTGTTTATAGTTTTCTTATTTTTCCATTATTCATTAAATTAATTTTTATTATCATTTTTTTTGCTTTTCTTTTGTATTGTCATGAATTTAAAAAGACAAAATTTATAAAAAAAAAAAAAAAAAAAAATCAAAAAGTATAAAGCTACACACTTCACAAAGAATCAATTGTATAATGATTGGCAAAAAACACTTGTTAGTTATGTGCCATATCTAATCTGAATTCCATCGCTTGTGATACAGCAGTTGGCTATCTCTGCTCTAAAACATTCTATGAATTTTTGGAAGGTTATCAAAATTACAAATAGGTTAAATTTTTAAGTCAAACATTTTATTACTTTGCATCAAGGGGGGAAAATTGTCATGTTTTTCAGGAGGCCAGTCGGAACAGATTCTTTACATGGATCTTCATTCAAAAAATTTTGCATTATACAATTTTTCTATCCCAACTGTAATATGATAACTGCAGAAAAAATTATTCATAGTTTAATGATGAACCAAAGAAACATTTTGGATAAGAAACACAAAGTAATCAATTTTTACATTATTCAGACTATTATTTTTATCTTGTTATTAATCTTTTCTGCCAATACATTCTTAGATGTATATTGTATTAGCTCTTTTTAACTTAGCTAGATTTCACTTAAAGTACTAAAGACTATATACAACTAGGATCCAAGACCTTATGGGGGTTTGCATCACACCTAAACCCTTCCATTAACCTGAAACAACTGGAACTGTGACTCATCAGATCATGCCACATATAGCCAGTCCTTCTGTAGGTGTCATGTCCCCTCAGGACATAGGCGATTATGGCTCTCCACAACTTCCTATCCTTTTTAGCTTTCAATAAATATTATCCTTTTGTTATTTCTCCTAAACCCTGTTCTGCCATCCATTTACTCAAGCTCACTAAGTATGTCATGCATTGTTTTCTACTGTCTCTCTTACCTTTTCCAGTCCTACTAAGTTCAATTAGCAGTGTCGCAAACCCAGGTGAGGTGCTGTTCAGTGACATGTTTTAACAGAAGCACTGCATCCTGGGTAAGATGATAAACTACATCCAACAGCAAGGCAGATTTTGAGGAGTGTGGAACCACCTCTTAATTGCTGTTGTTTCTAGGTCCACACTAACCTAGGGTGATAGCACCTGTTAGGGTCCCAGCTATGGGCAAATAGTTAACTCCCAAACTGAGGTCAAAACACTATGAAAGTGTAAAAATAGGTTTTAATACCATCAATACATTTTTGTAAAAAAATTATTACCAGCAATGAATTTTTGAAGAAAATAATTATTACCAGTAATACATTTTTGAAAAAAATTACCAGCAATAAAAATATTTTTGGCACTAAATAACCCATTGAGGTTGAGATGTCGTAAAGCAAAGCAAATCAAACCAAACAGGAGCACCCTGGATGGTGGGTATCTTCAGTTCCCATATTCAATTGAAGCTGAAGAATGATGAACTGACTACTGGATATGTGACAAATACCTCCAACAGTGAATGTGGATAGGATTTGAGTCAGTGTTGTTTGTCTCTTACTGCAGACACCTCTGGTCATGATCAGTTAAAAACCCATGGTCGGTCACTGTACTGTTCATAGTGGGCACTAACATCATCTATCATGTATTCCCAGTACACATATACACATGATATATCAGGCATCATATTTTCCAAGACAAAGAAATTGTGTCTCTGCTTAAGATAAACCCTGATAACAATCTTGTTCATTCACCTGTTCCAGTATTAACTCTTATGTTATAGAAATAAACCTTTTATACAAAAACTGTTGGTATGATGTCACAAGAGACATCTCAATTTTAAAATTTTTTTTTTTTTTTTTTTAAGAGAGAATTTAATTAATGTGAACTATACAAAGTGATTGATTCTTATTAATACCTTCATATTAACAATGTGTGTTGGTCACAAATAGAACAACTAGAATTACCTAGAGCCTAAATAGCATCACTACACATCAGGTATTGGTCATAGCAATGTGTGAAAGACAATAGGAAGAAAAGTAAAAAATTTTACAAAGAAGGACAATATGTAATTAATATCCTTTGAAGTTGAACATGTCTTTTTATTTATTTTTATTGCGAGCTATTATCCATTACACCACCTGCACATCCAAGCTTAGAACACCTGGTATTCTTAAGTGGTCACTCATCTAGGTAATGACTAGGCTCAACTTGCTTAACTTCAGTGATCGTATGAGAATGGGTGTTTTAATGTGACACATCTGTAAGTCCATGAATATGTTAAATGTTTTACTAAGAATAAAAGAGAAAGGATTTCTATAATTCTGATGTTAATATCCTGCCCCCACAAAAAAAAACCCTATCATCTGTCTCACTGAATTCTCTGACCTTAAATTATTCATAAAAAAGAATGTACGTCCATGAGAACTTACAATCTTGCTATAAGCAATAAAACAGCCTACAGCAATACAAGTTGTATCTTTCACTATATCAAGTGTTAAGAACATTTTTTCAAGTTTTCTTTTCTTATTTTTTCTTTTTCATATGATCTGTCTCATTTTTTCTTTGATATAAAAAAATTCTGATAGATAAACACAACATTTTTGTAATCATTTCTGACAATCATGCGCCATATCATTGGATTGTAATGTTAATGTTTTTCACCAACACAATGGACAGTGTTCAAAACTACTTTACATTCCTCTCAAATTTGCTTCATTTTTCTTCCCTCCAAGAGAGTGACACATTGCACCTTCTCAGGCTAACTTTTACACTGATATGAAGTGGAAAGATTATACCAAATCAATTGCTAGATCTGCAGCTAGTTTCACTGTGTCATGATAGCTTCTGGCAAGAAAGATTGTCTATCTTACACATTTATAAATCTACCATTTGTACATGCATTGAATATTTTTGTCACATTTGGTCTGGTGCTTGTGAAATGAGATTCTAGATAAAATACAAAGAGGAATTTACAATGTTATTGGCCCAGACCTGGCATCTCTGCTTCAGTTATTTTTCCCACCATTGTAATGTGGCTTCCCTGTGCCTTTTCTATAAGAATTTTCATAGTAATTGTTCTAAAGAGCGTTCCTCTATGAAACCTAGACTTTATGAATTTAAGTGCAGTACTAAATTAGCTGAAGGTCTTCTCATTTTACAGTTGAAATAGCTAATTGTAGCTATAAATTCTATGCTAATAGTTACTTCTATTGCACTTCTTCTGGCTTTTGCTTTTCAGTTAACTTTGATCTTCAAAAATTTAAATGCAATGTCAATCGTCATCTTCTCTCCCCTTGAATTTTGATCTTTTATTGTCCCCTTAACGTTTTCTTTTTCTCATTTCTCTAACATTTAATAACCACTTGTGTCTTAGTGGCTTTATTGCCTTGCTTGGAATGAAATAGTAATAAAAACAAAAATACTTACACAAATAAGCCACATCAAGACCTCTACAAAAGGCTGAGACATATTGTCACCAAAGGACTTTTTTAGCACCAGAACAGTTTGGGGACATTCTATCCATTTTAGTTTTTGTCCTGTTTGATCAGGGATGGTTCTGAAAAAAATAAAAGGTAGAATATTAAAGATAAGAGAATAAATCTTAAAAAATGAATCACCTGAAAGATTTTACTAACAACAAATGCAACAATAAGAATTAGTTCAATAATTCAAACAACTCATGATGTGATTTTTCTAAAATATAATTAATTATTAAAAATAAAATTATTCTAAAATAACTATTTCCAAAATCTATAGACAATATCTTTATTGAATGTGTGTTCAAAAGATGTCAGGATTTATTCAAAGCAAAGTTTGTGTAATTTAAATCCTCCCCAAATTCCTGCAATAATAAAACCACGGCAAACTTTGAGATGAAAAATAGAAAAAAATGGAAAAGGAATAGTGAGAGAGTAGGGACAAGAAAATTATTAAAAGAAGAAATGACCATGGCATCTATACAGCAAAAGAAAAAAAAAAAAAAGTAGGAAACAAAAAAAAATTATGAAAAGAAGAAATAACCATGAGATTCTAGACTTGTGCACACAGACACATACAGGTGTACACACACACAAAGAAAAAAAAAAATCAACTTAACACCAATAAAAAAAAAATTTTTTTTAAAAATTCATAAATTTTTAACTTAATATAAATATAAAAATTCATAATTTTTAACTTAATATAAAAATAATGAAAATGTGAAAAATCAACAGGCAACTGCTGATACTTCTTGACAAGTGAATTAAATGATTACAAAAAGGATCATCTGCAAAACTCTGGAATCAGGAAATTGAATATAACATCAATTAGTTAAGTGAGAAATTATATATTTGTATTAATCCTAAAAAATAGTCAGAAATGAAAGGACTATTTACATATGGAGCAACATTTGTATCTTGGATCCAGAACTTGAAATTAACATTGTCCTGGAGATGAACATTAATTTGAGATAAATGGTTATGTTTTTTGGGATGATAAAAACATTTTTATAATATATTATACTTTTATATTTATTCTTAAAGCAACTAATACACTAAAAAAAAACAAAAAAACTTCTTTACACCAATAATAGTGAACTTTTAATAAATTAAACATGCATACACAAACAAAAATCAATAAAACATAAGCAGTTGTTTTTAAACTGGTGAATGAAACCAAAATAAAAAATTAAAGTTGAAGGACTTAAATTTTTAGATATTTGTATTATCTCTGAATGTGAAAAATATTAACATATTTGTAAGAACTAATTTTGCTTTAATGAACAGAGCAAAAAAGTTGTACATTTTTCTATTAATGTTAAAAAACTTGAATCAACCAATGACATTTCATGATTTCTCCTTATCATAGAATAAATTGAAAATACAAGGAAGAATTTAAAAAAATGATAAACAAATGTGGAAAATATAGTCATACTAGGTAATTATAAATGAAAATATTTTTTGATAAAGACTTTAAAGATTTAGCTGGACTGTGCAAGTGTTCTTTATATAGATAATGAATGCATATAGCATGATACTTAAATTATATGTTATTTCAAGCAGGAAAATGAACAATTCCAAGTAAAATTATCCAAGGTGATCTAACTGAACTGTAACTAAATATAGCTGTGATTTTTATAAAAATCACAGTAAAATTTAATTAATTTGTTTTTTTTACTTACACATTTTAAAAAATTTAATATTTTAGCTTTTTTAACTAATTTCATAAACATTTTAATAGTGTTTTTATTCTGCTACTAATGACTATAAAGGATAAGAAAAAAGAAAATAAAAGACATTTTGATTTTGGAACAATTTTAATGTTTATTAGAAACAAAAGTTATTTTTGGGGACAGTTCTGGGATGATAGCAAAAAAGTTAGTCTGGAGTTCAACTAGGATCAGTATAGTAGCTGTGCTCTCAGCCTAATTATGTATTTGCAAATTAATTTTATTGTGCTGTTTAAGCAGCGGAATGTTAACATAATGGATATGTCAATTGCCTGCTTATCTCTAGATCAGATGTTTGAATTAAAAAAAAATAGGCGCGGCAGAAGAGGATAGCAGGTGAGGTGGTATGATTGAATTACAATCAAAGATTAAGAAACAGTTTCAAAAAATTAATATGCCAAAAATAAATATGATTTCAAAATTTAAAATATTATTATGGATTACTTGTAATTGCATGCATGAGTCCCAGTATAAACAGTTAAAAATAATTATTGACTGATTTTATTATTGTGATATTTTTGCATTATATCAAGTATTAAGAATATAGTAACTAGGGTCTGCAAATTGGAGCAGAGAGTTATCAATGATAATGTTCTGACTTTAAATCCGCAGTTAACTCCCTTTAACCGTCTCTCTCTCTTTTTTATTTTTAAATGTACATTTTATCACATAAAATTTGGTGAGACGCAAGCAAATTTCAATTCTGAAAAAGTGGCCCAGAGAAAAAATTTTGGGAACCACTGCCTTACTGGATGACCCAGCTCTATGGCTTTAAATTGTACTAGGTTAAGTTTAGTGGATATCAATAATAAATAAGGTTCAAGGCTAAACTTCTTAAAATGGGTTGGAATATAATTGTTAGTCAGTATTTAACCATTAACTGTTCCTTCTGCTATTGAGTTGAGCTGACAGAAGAATATTATTTTGCAAGGATTATTTAGTAGTTCTTGAAAAATAGAAGTAATAGTATTTTTAAAACCAACATTAAAAATTTAAAAATTGATGTACTACAATTTTAAGTTGTTTATATAATTCTTTTCTGAATTGAAATAAAAAAAGGATATGCTGTGAAATTTTAATGAAACCAAATGAGAATTTTAAAGTTTGTTGGAAAGAAAGCTACATTCTTTAATGCATTAAGTTAATTTAAACTATTTACATTGTTTGGACTGTTGTCCTCATCTTTGTCATATTCACAATATTTTGGACATTGTATGCTCTGGCCTTCTTCAGGTGATATATGTTGGAATTCAGTCATCCTTGATTATTACATTACAGAATGAATTTTCACTATAAAAACAAAATTATGAAGAGAGTGGCCTGAAATATTTTGCAGCTCAGCTAAGAAGAATGACCCGAGTCATGAAATGTACATGCTCTAAAGTTCAATGCAAAACTTTTGGTCATTGAAATACTGATATTAGGAAGAGGGTTGAACTGAGAACTTTTCAGCACCATCGAGCAAACCTCAAATTTACTCTAATCCTGATGAGCAATCATACCTTCAATGAGGTGTCTTTCCTTGAACGAATGCCTATTGGGTTTAAGGATCACTCCAGAACTCAAATGGAATTCATGCATTTATGCCATCACTAAAGATGCTGGAAGATTGGTATGTTTCTTGTATCACTCCAGAAAATATCTAACTCCTGCTGCCAACTATCTTTAGAAGAGTTAAAAATCAAACCAAGAATGGAGTATTGCTGCCATATCTGGACATGTGCTTCTCAGTTCTCGCTGTCTAGCCTTGACAGAGTTCAAAAACAGTTAAACAGCCTTGTGAGTGATAAATTATTTCCCACTCTGCAACCCTTATCCCACAGAAGAAATGTTGCTAGCCTCTCTACTATCACTATGGTAGATAGTCATGAGTTACATTCCTTAGTTTCACCAGCTCACACCTTCACAGTTAGAATCCACCATGCCTTGTTCACAGTGGAAAATCACCCCCATTCCCTTCATGTCCCTTTGGTAAGGAGGGAATTCTACTTGGCTTATTCCCCAAGAACTGTTACTTTCTGGATCAAACTCTCGAGTGGATGCTCACCTAACCACTATAATCTTAACATCTTCAAGTCTAGCATCAACTGTTATCTATCCTACATATCCTCATAATGTGTACTTCCTGCTTCCTCCTCCCTTACAACAATCTCATAACCCAATAACCCTCTACATTGAGTAGCCCTTGAGTCTTGTATTGGGTGAAAATAAAAAAAAATTGGGGTCATAAATACTTTTGTTCAATTGGAAAATATTAACAAAAGTTGAAATGAAGATCTTGAAACTGATTCCAATTTCTGATCTATTTCTCACTCACATTAAACAGAGCAGAAAAAATAATTTCATAAACACAAGAGGAACATTCTATTGAGTAGTTAAGTATGATGGTTCACAAAGCAGAGAGAATTTCCTAGATAAAGAGCCATTAATGACATTCTTGAGTATCTGTGTGTGTGAGAGACACACACATACAGACACATCCAGTGCAAACATAAGAATCAACGCTGCACAGTAATTGTCAGTTTCACATGTCTGAAGATCACACTGAAGTGTGAAATTGACAATCAACATGTTGTATTGATTTCTACATCCCAATATTCATACTATCTATATCTATAAATGTCCTATCACTGATATTGAGAACCCTTCACCTATAAATATAGTAAATTTTAATATTATATATATATATATATATATATATATATATATATATATACATACATACAGTGTAACCCGGATATAAAAGAGTTGTCGGGACCGGAGAAGTCTCTTATATCCGGGTTTGGTTTATTTTGTCTAGGTAAGTATGGGCTCTAATTTGGGACCAGAAAAATCTCTCTTATATCTGGGTCTCTTATATCCGGGTTACACTATATATATATATATATATATATATATATATATATATATATATATATGTGTGTGTACATAATATAGAGTGTACAAAGTCCTTGGTTTATAAAAAAAAAAATAGCTAGAAAAATGAAAGTTATATTACATGGAGCTTTTAAAAAAGTTATCTGTAAAAGTGATGTTGCAATCACTTATCAAAATGACATAAATGTCTGAAATAAGGGAAAATTTTCTGCTTAGCTGTATATACGATGTGACGCTGGAGTCTCCAGAGATTGCTCAAACAAAAAGGGAAAGAAAGAAAGCAGGAAGAGGAGGAAAGAGTTTACTAACTGGATGGTAATTGTTGAAATTCACAGGAAGATGGATTGAAAAGTTAAAATGAAAAATGAAATGCATTGAAAAATCATGTTCAAAGTAGTAAGTGAACTCCCAAGCAGTTCCAAGGAGAACCAAACCCAAATTTAACTAGACAGAATTCAGTAAGATTGAGCAAA